GATCCTCTTTGGAAGCTGTTTTGCGCGGTTGGTTGCTGGCGAGCAGCCAGCGACGGGAGCTGCAGCCCAGCTTGCTGGAGCTGCCAGAGTTCTGCTGTGTAGGAAGGGAGCCCAGAATAGCAGCCTTCTTACTACCTCCCTCAGGGTGCTTCAGCAATTTCTCAAAGGTCAGTAGAAACTAGTGATCAATTAAAGGAGCTCTCTCTCTGCTTTTAATGTATTTTACAGGTAGTGGAGAAAAAGCTTTCAAATGCTTTCAAATCCTGCTACCTCTTGCCTTGGAATAATTTGTGAGGATCCAAGGCCAGTTGTTTTGATATTGTGGGGGTCGACATCAAGGTAGTCCAGCCGAGTGGGCTAAGAATGCTGCCTTGGTCAGTTTGCTCTGGCAGGAGCAAAGTATTGTAGCAAGTATTCCTCCAGTAGCCTGTGATAAAATGAGCATGCCTGTAGCATTAGAAATAGCCAGTCTGGCTCCCAGGCATTTGATCTGCTCCCAAGAACAGTCTCTCTTGAATAATCTGCTTCGTTTTTAATCAGTCAAAAAAAAGAATATCCTGATGGCAGGTAACAAATATATTTGTGAGATTGATCTGGAAAAAAATGCCAAGTGGAGGATTTTGAGTTTTGCTTTCATTAAAAGATGGAGAGTTTCATTGGGAGGCTTAGTGACAACTTGATATTGTTTAGACAGTGATCTATCTGAAGAAAGATTAATGTTAATTAAAGTGGCGTTGGAGAAATTCAGCAGATGACAGCAGCCAAGCTGGCTACAAGCTATTTTTAGAAAATTTACTTCATTGCATTTGATATGACTCATTTATTAAGTTAACAGATGAATCAATAGCACAGCTTCTCATGGCACTCCCTTAACATGGAACTGTATAAAGATTGTGTTCATAACTTTGGTCAGGATTCAAATTATAAAAGCTGTCCCATATGGATTCAGTCCAAGTGCACAAGTGTCTTGCACAAAGTGCAATAATACTCCAGTATTACTCTGCAATAATACTCCAGTGAGATCATCCAAGCATGGATATATAGAGGGGCACAGGGGAAAATCAGCCAGAAGTCCAACTTGCACTATTAGGGAAGTAATACAAATAGACAGCAAACAGGTCAGCTTGTTAAAATAATGTAACAGAGTAAACTTATTAATGTAACAATGTAAATTTATTTCTTTTGTCATTAATGTACTTTTTATTTGAGCTGTGGTTCATGGTTTCTTGTCTCTATTTGAGCACAGTTCTTCTTGGTTTTCAACTTTCCTTAGCTAGGATGTAGTTTTCTCTTCTGTGGTGTTCAGCTTTAATTTGTGAAATAGTAAAGCATCCATCTGTTACAATACAACTGTGTTGGCCTTAGTTCAGTTTATTTCCTGTATTTTGCTAATTTCTTAGGTTGCCATAGAAACCTTGTTGTTCTCCTGAATCCTTTTTGTGAGCTTTTGCAAACCCAATCCGAAAAGATAAAAAAGACATTTCTATTAGTTTTAAAACTTGTGTTAAAATAATTATATTTATTATTTCCTGATTATATTTTATGGAATTTCTATCTTTTCTGATTCTTCCGTCAAAGGCCTTTTCCAGTTTAGCCCAGTGTAAGATATGATTTTGCATTATTATTGTGTCAGCTTGTATTTCTACATATAGGAATAATTTCTCTTTTGCAAAGAGATTAGAGAATTGGGCTGTCTGTGTTATATTCAAGGTATGATACAGAGGTGATAAGACTAATGTCTGACAAAATTTGAATATAAATTCTGGTATGTTTGGGATTATCTATTACATAGACAAGTGAAACATTAAAAGTAACTAGTATTTAAAATAATTTCACTGTTAAATAGTGTGTCTTGCACACTAACTATATGTACAGTTTTGGAGAGGAAGACTTTGCAGATTAGGTTTCTCTGGGTGAAGTTTGAGACCATCTTTTCAGTGTACTGGAAGTAGCTGACTGTGTATTTAGCTTTGCTCTTGGTTGGGTGTATATTATCAGAGAGAAAATGCCATTTCTATTGGACAATGCTGGATGTTGAGTAGTTCAAATGGAGAGCAGTGTAATAAAATCTGTAAAAAATGTAAAATATGTAAAAGATGAAGAGTGACTCCACACAAAATTTGCATCCCCAGGAATTCTGCCCATTCTAACGTGTTCTTTGTTGCATTATATTTAGCTTACAAAGCCCATTGTAGTTAATGTGTACTCAGGCTAACTGGTTCTTTGCTCTTCTGATCACAGTTACTTTTTGAAACATTGTGATTAAGAATGATACTGTAAAATATTCTTTAAAAAGCAACCTGCAGAGAGAAGTTTTTCACAGCAAAGTGTAAAAAAATGCCACATGCAAGCCCTCTGTTATGGTCTCTGTATCATCCTATAGCTGAAATCTCCTGTGTATAATTGGTCTCTGTTCTTTCAGATGTCAGTAATCAAATCAAGGAATTGCACAATGACAAGCAGGTTTCCAGACAGGCCACCATTCAGAGAAACACTTGAAATAGAAAGTTTTCCTCAAAATGGACATATCCATTATTGCATTGATTTTCTATTTACTTTGATTTTGCTGGTTTTTCTTAGCAATCATCACTATGTTTTTTGGTTTTCTGTTACTTGTGTGTGTGATGTTGTCCAGTCCCCTACACTTCAGACTTAACTGACTCTTGAAGATTTGTGATAGAAGATGTGACTGTGTTAGCTGCATCTTCCCAGTGTGGGTGATGCCTTTAAACTTCTGTGAAACTCACAGATAAACTTTATATACAAAGTGAAAGTCTTCTTTATGTCTTTCACCAGTTAAATCTGGTACTATAATCTGCTGTGGTGAATCTCTTCTGGAAGTTATAAGATTGACTGAAATCTAATGTTCTGAAATGAAGAAAGTATAGACTTCCTTAAAAACTTCATTTCAAATCTGAGACATTGATGAAATTGTATATTAATGTTCTCTGATTCTCTTTCAGCTTCAAATTTGTTATTGTTTATTTTTGTAGACTGGATTTTTAAGATAAAGATGTCCTTGTAGGATTGTAAATGGACTAAGATATGTGAGTTGGAGCTATCCGTGAGAGATTGTTTATTTAAACAGTAACATAATTTTTAATATGTCTTTCTCTTTCAAAAATGTGGAATTGTAGTAGCTGACATTCTACTTTTTAAGTGTGGTACCATTTGAGCTGCAACTTGGCAAATTCAGAGTGTGTTAAACTCAACACAAAACTTTGCAGAACTGTGTAGTGATGCTAATTAATGATGTAAGCGACTAAGATGAGTTTACTGAGTCAATGATTTTGATTCTTTTTTTCTGATATTCCAAGAAAGTTCTGAATAGTTGTGCCAAAGGTGGCCCATAAAGAAATCTGCCGGGTGGAATTCCATGTTGCTGGAGTGCTGGCAGTGGAGGTTCTGTATTCTCCTTCTGCTAGAAGGGTAGAAAATCAGTGATTTCTGAGGTATGCCAAAGTGCAGTCAGGAATGGATCTCAAAGAAGACATAAGTTTCTTTCTTACATTCCTCATTCCAGTAGCCATGGGACTGGTCAGGTGCACTGTTTACATGCCACCTGAGCCACTGCTTGTCACCGTTTGATGAAACAATCCTTTTTCGTGGTGCTAAAGCCCATTTCTTGTAGCTGTCCCTAGAAACAGCAGTTGAACAAAAGTAATGAAAAATAAAAGTTCATGTTTGTATTTGCACTGGCAAAAAAAGTTTCAGTTCTCTCCAACTTTAAGCTCACTTAATGAATGGGAGCAATGGAAGTCGCAGAAGAAATGCGAGAGAGCATTTGCTACACTCTTTGTCCATGATGAATTTGAATGTAGCCCTGTCTCTGCCTTGGAAATCAGCTGATGTTACCTAGAGCAGTAATGAACTTCAGACTTTTCCTATGCACACTTCATCCTCTGTGAAAAACTTTCAAACACTTCATTTACAAGTATGGAAAGGCAGGATTTAGGTGGAAAATCTTACTGTATTTTCTGCGTTATTCTCTTCTCCTTTTCACTTGACTAAACAGTATTTATAATAGTTCCAAGATATAAGAAAATACACCTCTGTAGAAATGCTGACAATTAGAAAATAAAATTCCAGTAATAGGGAGATAATACAAATACACATTTGATATGTGTCTACTGGTTTACAAAAAATAGGTTCCTATGTAACTTCCATTTTTGTAGGATCCAGAAAATGAATAGTATTGCTGTGTAGAGCCAGCAGGAGGTCATTAGTGCACTCATATTTTTAGGTCTGAATTGTCACCATTGATGAGACTGCTTCATGGAATAAAAGAAGCCATGTCTGTGTGTCTCTGGGGAAAATGTAATATTAACCACCATTTATAGTACATGATATTCATGCATCTTCAGTATGTGAACTGTTCTTTACCAGGATTTTTGCAGGATTTCAAAAAGTAATTTCAGTGAGTTCCATGTAGGAAAAAAACCTCTATTTTTTCTGTGTCAATGACTGCTGTTACCCATCACCCACATTTTATTACCAATTAACTGCAGAGATTTTTCAAACATGGAGGCTATACAGTCTGTGTGATTTGCAATAGCTGTACATGCACATTTAATTTAAAAAATTCAATTTCTAGAATTGTATTTAGATGCATTTCAGACTGTGTGGCAGCACAGTGAAATAACAGAAAGCATATCAGTCTTCAAACACTTAAACTCATTCATATGCCTTAGACAATCAAAAAGAAATCATAGAATATGATGGTTGCTGTTAATATAAGAAATACCATCCTGGTGATGGCAATTTTGATTGTCTGACTTAATTGCTAAAGTGATGGACACCTTGTTTCTAGTATTTATGTTAATCACATACAGATTTTTTGTTGGATAAAGAAAGGGGTTTTTTGTTTTTGATTTGGGACTTACTGGGTTTTACCTCTAAATTGGTAGAAGGAATATTGTATTTTGGAACAAGTCATAAGACTATTAACATACTATATTTTCTGTTACTGATTTTGAGAACTTTTTTTTTCCTGATTTCAGGCTGGGTGGGACTATATCTGCATACAAGATAGTGCCAGACGAAATAGAAGAAATCAAGGTACAGTATTATTGCTTTTCAACACTGAATTTCTTTCTTTGGAAAATTACAGAAATGTCACATTAAAAAGCCACATTAATTCTTGCTTTGAAGTATATCACAGGGGAGAGAGGAAAGTGTCTTAAGTAAAATTATTAGATCCATATTTATGCATCGAAAATGGAATTTTAGTTATTTTTGCAATTACTGTTTACCTTCAGCTTAAGCTGACTTCAGCAGGATTTGTTTGATGCCAGAAACCTGTGTAATTCAACCTATTTGTTTTGCTACCTGAAGACAGATGGGGGACTATGATGAACACTGAGTTATAGTTTCATAACAAAAGATATATGTAACTGTCCTTCTGCTTTTGAGATCTTAAAGCACATCTATATTTTCCAGTATTGTCTTTAGAAGGGGATAGTATGAAGTAAAAAAATTGTTATAAACGCTTTGATTTTGAGTAGTGATAGCAATAAATACTGAAGTTTACCTTCAAAGTAAGGTAACAAAACTCACTTTAGCCAAGTCCACTCGTGAAATGTGCTTCAGCAATTTATGTCAGTTTTTTTTTTTTTTCAGTGGAATTAAGAATGGATACTGGGGGGCATTTTGGCCTGGATCTGATAGTACAGTTTGTGTAGCTGATTCCTCATTTGGTTGTTGGTAGATCAGTCTGACGTATTGCTTGCTCATTGTGATTGCTTAACCCACTCTGCTATTTCACATATTTATTTTCAGCTTGCAAAGAGAATTAAGAATAGTTGTAAAATCTTATGAAGGGAAATGACTGTGTAATATCTGATGTAGACATGACTTCGCAGTGTGCAAATGGTGAGAATTTATTCCTCTTCAATTAGTATCAAACCCACTGCAAGCAAGTCACTGCGCAGTGACTGCCTTTGCCTGCATCAGTCAAAGTTATCACACCATCATGATCAAAACTTTTTTTTGTCATCTAAGATTCATGGAACTCCTCTGTCCTGAATTTTATCAAGGGGAGACCATGATTTATTACTGGATAGATCCACTAGTCAGACTTTGGTCTTGGAATAAAAGAAAGAAAGAAGGCTTTCAAAATTAAATAGTGGTATTTTTGTGATACTCAGAGAACTGCTCCAAAATGATTTTAAAAATTACAAAAACCCTAAACCACAGTCTTTTTAATTTAATATAAGAAAACCAATACCACAGATATTTTGCTAATGTCGAAGATGAAGAAAGCTGATGTTCCTGGCTTCCTCATACTAAATGAGTTTCAGTACACAGAGAAAAATGAAATATTGGGAGATAAATAATTTAACTTTTAGGAACTTACTGCAAGATTAGTACTCACAGGTAGCTTGTTTCTAGTAGCTGTCCTGTCTTGTTCAGTTAGTAGGATTTTGAGGTTGTATTGGAAGTCAGGCCACTTCTCACACCTTAAATGGTTGAATATCTCAAGCTGCAATACATGTTATTTATATTAAATAAGGCACTACTGGAAGATGCCAAGACAGACACATATATATTGGATATCAAGAAGTATTTCATCTATATGTATTCTGAATAGCAGCTGCTAAACAGTGAGATGTGGTGTCCTTTACCATTTCAAAGGCTCTCCTAGCTGATTTGAGTAGAAAAAGGAGAGAGGAGAAGATAGAAGGCAAATAAGCTTACTGGAATATTGCTTCTTAAGAGAACAGAATCTTCTTCCATGTACCTTAATTAAGTTATTTTGCCCCACAACCATCTCTCCCCTATTTAAGCATGAAATATTAAGGAAGTTAGTCTGATGAAATATGCAAAAATATTAGCTTCACTTTTAAAATCAGATTTAACTTGAGTTGTATTTTCATGTTTTCTGATAGTCCTTAAAAAGAGAACTGCTTTCTTAAATGGCAAAGGAGAAACTTCATGAGAGAGAGAGCAATAGTTACTATGACAAATAAGTCTCTTAGCATTTGCATGTGTTCTAGAAAAGGTGGTAGATTAATATATTTTGCAGCCCAAAATAACTTATGAGGCAAACTGGTGTATTGATTTTGTTAATTAATGTAATTATGACAAAAATGGTAAGAGGTATCCTAACTAGTCTCATGCACCATACCAAGGTTAGGAAGGATTGTATGGAACCATTCACCACTACAATTCCACAGCATCTGTATCAGACTAAAACAAAGTGTCCTGAAACCTACCTTCCCAATATTTTTGTCTCAGGTGCCTAGATTCCCAAAGTGAGAACACTCAACAGGTTGAGTGTTAGGTAACTCTAGGTTACCTAGATACCATCTCAGTTTTCTTCCCTAAAATCTCTTCTAGAAGGCAGATATGTTCTCTTTTACATGATCTTCTACTTCAATAAAAGAAGTCTTGAGAGAATGCATAAATGGGTGTACTACCATCTGCATTCCTGTCATTCCTCCACACCAGTTAAGGCAATGTCACTTCATTTTCAGTTCCTGCTGGTTTTAAAATAACTCCAGAATTGATAAAGACAGTAAATACAGAAATTGCAGTACATTTCTGAGAAAGTGTCATTGTTTCAACTTCCTCTAGACTTCTATTCTCATCAGAATATTCATCCTGTAAAGAAACAGATTTTCAAACTAGCAAAAAAACACTGTCAGATTTCAGCCTTGCTCCTCACCCACTGTAATAGTATGTGCCTAAAGGAGAGGTCTTCCAAGCCAAATGATTTCGTGTACATGGGGCCTGGTGAGCCTCTTGGGCACACTGGTTTTGATGAACAACATGGAGACTGTCTCAAGAATGAAGAGCAATTTATGACTGTTACAGATTAGGGAAAGTTTACAAGATGTGCCTATAGACTTGTGTCAACAGTATCACCTTACGGTTTATAGTACTGTGAGACGCGGTCTTCTTGATTTCCACATTCTGCCATTACAAAGGAAATATATGATGTGGTGAAGGGTGGTGATTATAGAAGAAGACTCAGTGAATGAGAAAACCACTCCTTAACAGAGTCCTAAAAAAACCACTTGGTTTGGTAGGATTTGCAAGTCAACAACAGAAAGGCATTTGTTTTGTGTTGAGTTTATCTGCTTTCATATATACTTTTTATGTAGACATATGCATGCATCTCATCTTAAGGCCAGAAATGGATTTTGTAGCAGGTCCTTAATTCATGAAAGTAATATACGCAAGAAAGACATTGCCAGAACATTTCATTCCTATAATATTTATGGCATGAGACAAATATTCCAGGGTAGAGAATAAAGTTAAGTGGTTGCCTCCTGTGGTAGTTTTGAGAAATCTTGTTAGAAATATTTTGTTAATGCTGGTTATAAATTGTAAATTTAGATGTAAAGCAGTTCTGGAGCAAGATGGGAGGAGGGGGTTTTTAATTCCATTAACCACCCTTTCACAAAGAGACACACTTTATGCTCCTCAAGGAACACTCGTAATTCATCTATAGATACTCATTTAAATGAAAACATATATGCATAAAGTATTAAAGGTTGAATTTAGGACTACAGACATTTTTCCCTGAATAATAGTAGGATAGCTCTCTTTTCTTTTCCTTTAGGAGTATGTGTTGACTTAATAGTTTACTATATGAAAATTTTTATGTACAGCTGAAACACATTCTTCTCAGATTGCCTTCAGTCTTTGAGAAAGTAGATTCCAGTGATAATGATCCAAGAGTAGAAAATGATAAAAACTATGAAGGAGATCAAAGTAGCCAGAAAGGAAATGAGTGCTGTATCTTTCTAAGAGGTCTGCTGACTTTGTGGTGTCATATACCTACATAATGCTGTATCCCAGAATCTGGTTTTTCTGCTGATAAGAGTAGCTGATGAAGCTTACACAAATCATGTGCAGCCAAGAGATGCTGGCCTTGATCATTATCAAAGCATTTTCATAATTATCAACATGCAGCAAAAATAAATAGCAAGTTGTCAGCAAGTGCCAGTTTGTAGTCCCATATTTAAACAAGCACAAAAGAAAGGTAGTCTTAGCTACTGTGGTGGATAGTCCACAAGAATAGAGTTGTGGCTGAAGATATTTAGATGCCACAAGAGTGGTTTTGTGTCTTCGTACTGGAGAGTGGAGTAGTATTTAAATATCTCTTGCATCTTCTGCAGAATTAGCCTTGCTTTACATGAACAAGGAGGTGTGCTGTCATCCCAGTTTTGCATAGGAGGTTAAGTCCTGGATCTAGTTAACTTCATCACTGTATGGATATTTACCTGCCAAGTGTACCAGCACTGGCCAAGTGCTTCACAAAGAGCTTCTCCAAAGTTTATGATGGGGGGGGGGGGGCATCAGAATTTGATGGTAATGCTGAGATTATTGCTCCTTTATCTGTTTGGATGCAGCACAAATTAAAAAGTTTGCCCACTCAGAATAAGTTTTTTGAAGAGGCTCAAGCTGTTTGAAGTGTGTACTCCCACTAATCCTAAAGCACCAAGAAAATTTGCTATTTACCTTGCAGGAATGACAATTCTGGTTCTCAGTTTTTCTGCCCATGTTTTCCTTCTTCTGCATCTCAAATTATAATTACTAACTCACAGCACAAGAGTTCTTACTAAGCATGACATAAAAGGGTATTATCCATTGAATGTCTAGTGTGTATTAACAAGTAGCATCTCTGTAGACTCTAAAGCTTACAGATAAAAGCTTAAAAAGATTTAAAGGACATATGTGATGGTCATGTCACATAGATGTGTGTTGACTAAAACTGAGGGCTTGTCTTTTAACTCTCTTAACATGCACGCAGAGTCTCACCATCCAGCAGACAGTTTGATTATACTCCTGCATCTAGGTAAAGAAAGTTTCTAAAACCTTTTGCAAATGTCCTAGCTAGTAACAAAAACTGACACTGAGATGTCAATTTAGTGTATGAAATCCCCAATACACTTGCAGATTTGGTTTTCCTACTTCTTGGATTTTCATGAAGGAGACTTTCTTATGGACATGAATCCAACTAGAACAATTGAGAAATGGGATGTGTTAAGCTAAAACATCTTTCTCATCATATTTCCCTGTAATTAAAGTTCATCTGATGTACACACAGA